CACCAGATCCGATTCAAACCCAATCGGATAAACCACCCTCATCATTGCCAAATCTGATTAGTTGAATTGAAATCAACGGTATCACAGTGGTATCACAATGCATCTTATATGTGCTTGGATATCACATTGAGGGTCGTTTGTGTGATCGATCGGAAATGTAACACAGTGGTATCACAATGCATCTTATATGTACTTGGATATCACACGGAGGGTCGTTTGTGTGTTTTTTGTTTAACATGGTCAATATTTTTAGGTATCACCGGAGGAAGGGGGACGAAGAGAGAAGAGAGGAGAGAGGAGAGAGGAGAGTTTTAAAATACCTAAAATGTCCATGTATTAAATTTTAATTCAGAATTACCAAAATTATAAATTTCCTAATTTATCTATTGATTTGTGGTTGAGATTGGATCTCACATTTACCACAAACTAATCAGTTCTTCCTTGAATGAGCCTCACATGTTAGGTCATGTAATTTTGTCGTAGTAGCTTATCATGTGATGCATTTGTATACGATGAATAAGTGTTGGTCTTTTAAGTATTCTATTAAAATGGTTGATGTCCTAACAAGTGTTGTAATGGTTAATACGTATACTTTTTTGCAAGAGAAACCGAGTGTCGTTGATGCAGTATAACAAGAATGCGACTTTATGGCTCGTTTGATAATTTGAAAGCTTGCAAGCTTCAGGTTGACCAGAGGGAAAGTCAACAATGTTGATTTGAACAGAAATATACATTTTTACAAGTGGAATTAACATTCCGAACAAAATGCAAGATCAAGTATCACAAATTCAAGTTAGGAGCATGAGGTCAAGATCTGACATGGTCAATGCACAAACAAGAAGCAGAGATATCTGTTGAGAACTACTACAAGTATGAACTTTTTTGCAGTTTTAATTCAAATACATAGGAATATATATATATATATATATATATATATATATATATATATATATATATATATTATAGAAGAAAGCCTACTCAACGTGTATATGTATATTTATATCATACATATGACTGGATTGATCTCGATGCAACATGGTCAACCATCAGATCTAGCCAATTCTTGGTGCCTTGACAACATTTTGAGACGAGTCAATGAACAACCTAACTCGACTCGACACAAAATCCATTGTAACAAAACTATCCTGAGGAATCACATGGACTGTAGCCCTCGGCATTTCTTCCTTTATCTTCTTTTCCACATCTTCAGCTTTCATCCCCATGAGTTCTGGCCAATTTGTTTTCGTAGCTGCAACATGTTTAACCCGCAAAAGATCACGACACTTTTAACCACAGTTCGATTACTTTCCACCCAAGTAATCGTTAACGACAAACAATAAAGTTCACAACACCTTATCTATTATCTACAGAATTAAAAGAAAAGAACGTAAATCAACTCACGTGGGAGACTCTGTTTGGCTTCTAGAATAGGCGCGTTTCCTATGTTCTCTTCGGCCATGGCAAGAGAAATGAGCCCAATACCTTAACACGCTGATGTACACAACAGAGAGAAACAAGAGTCGGGTACCTTCAAACAATTCAATGGTAATACGCTTCAATATATAACGAACATCCCATGAATTTAATAACGTCAAGAAACATAACATACGTTTCAAAGATTCCCGTGATATTCGTTTTGTTAACGTTATCATCTCCTATTATAAATTATAGAATTTTGTATATAACAAAGAGTTTCTTTTAATAAAATCGGCTGCATAAATTAATTGGTCAAAATTAAAGCTTATAAAAAAATTAAGGTTACAAGTGGCGATATCATAATTGCCGGCCAATGAATAATACGACCAAATAAATGCATATTCATATGTGAAGAAAAACCAAAATCAAGGATCGGACCATTAAAATAATTAGATGATTTAAGAAAAATCATTAATAACGATTAAGATATTAAAGGGTTGTTTGTTTACCTCTTAATAGTTCTTTTAAGAGACAACCTCTGTTTTATTAAAAAGGTGAATTTTGTTTGGCAAAAAAAATCTGTTTTTAATGGTTCTAAAACCTTCTGAATGATTTTGTATCTTGGGCCTCTCTTAACTAGGGGTGAGCAGCGGAACCGGATACCTGTTTGCGGAACCGGAACCGCCTTGGAACTGCCGGTTCCGGAACCTGAGCCGATATGAGTGGTTCCGGTTCCGGTTCCTAAAATACGGAACCGATTGAGAACGGTTCCGGTTCTCAATTTTTCGGAACCGTTACCTGCCGGGTACCCGCCAGGACAGGTTCCGGGACCGGGTACCCGGAACCGGCGGGTACCCTGAACCGGAACCGGCGGGTACCCAGTGTTTTTCAATAAAAAAATAATTAATGTTTTTAATACCAAATTTATATTTTTAATACCAAATTTATATTATGTTACATCTTCAAAGGACGTGGTCATCTTCATTCTTATCAACTTTCTAGTTCTACTAAACTACACTTCATAGTATGTAATCGTTAAGTTTTGAACATTTACAATAATAGTATGTAATCGTTAAATTTTGAACATTTTCTATTAGTCTATTATGGTTTATAATCGTTAAACTATATTTGTAACCATTATTCCGTATAATTTGTATTCTTGTTTATTTAATTTAGTGTTTTGGCAATGTTTTATTTTTTATTTCTAAATAACAAAATTTTAATATTTTAGGAAGCGGGTACCCGGAACCGGAACCGGTTTCCGGCGGTTCCGTTTCCGGTTCCAAAAATTCAAGAACCGCTCTAACCGGTTCCGGTTCCGGTTCCAATATCTCAAGAACCGCCGGTTCCGGTTCTGGTTCTGTCAAAAAGGGCGGGTATCCGCCTATGCTCAGCCCTACCCTTAACCATTAAGCGTTCTAATATTATTGTTAAACAATTACTAAACAATTATATTTCATTTTTCACTATATCATGAGAGTCTTTTTAATCATTCTGACCACTTAATCATTCTGTACCAAATCATTCAGCATCTGTCAAATAGCCCCTAACCTTTTCTAATAACTTTGCAAGTCGTTGAAAGCCTATTGTATTATGTATCACAAAATTCAACACCAACTCTGAAGCCAAGACAACAACCACAACAACAAAATTAGCAATAGCAAAATTCCTTCAATAAGATGAGGAATCCAAGCTTAGTTGCAAACGAGCTTCGACATTATCAACTGTCAACACCTTCGTTAAACTCAAAATGCCAACGATTTGTCTTCAAACATCATCGACATATGGATATTATGAAGCCTTCTCTCGAATCCCTTCACGACATCAACACTTGAGCAACTCGATGATCTTCATTAAGCTTTCAATAGCTTAATAAACACGTCCATTGCATTTTCCATCATATGAATCTCGACTAGTGATATAAGCTTTTCTTCATGCCAAATTCTATCGTGCTTTGGCTGTGGCAATTCACTTCCACCAAATCTTGGATACAACTAAAATAACTCGAAACGTTGCTACAAGTATAAAGCTTCATTTGCGACCTCATTGATATAAGTTCCATTTCGGTATTCGACAAAATTCACAAAATGATAATGTATTGCAACCTCACATTCCAAGTGATGAATGTCCTACAAGAAGTTGAATAAATAACCCCGAGTCGACTTATATTGACACATGTCATCTTTTTTACAGACAAACAATATGTTTCATGAGTGTACAAAGCACATTGATATGTATTATTGATATCGTTTTCTGCGCACGATTATTTAAGGTGACATAAAGTGTAAAAAAATGGATACATATGAAAATTCAAATGAGATATATCATCAGAAAGCCTATTTTCGTGTTTGCTCGATTCTTTTACAGGCCAATACGTAACTGTATAGTTGAAGTTTTAGCAACGCTTTCTAAATGTCTATAAAGGATAAAGTATTTTTATTTGCAAATTAATTGATCGTTTTAGAGAAGCTTTTATAATTTTTTAAAAGCGTATCTAAAGAGTTCTTTATTTTCAGTAAATCAAAATTATATAATAAAATATTATTAGAAATTAACAAGAGTTCTCTCTAAAAGTTCTATACGAGACAATCAGAATAGTTTTCTTTGATTTCGATCTTCATATTCAACTTTGTGTTATGATTTTGTTTTTCGACCGAATATGATCGATCTTCATATTCAATTTGTCTTCATCTCTTCTATTTAGGGCTTGAGGATTCATAGAGTCACGGTCTTCAATGGCGATTTCGAGTTTGTCTTCATATCATCGTAATCGTTTATATTACTTACTAGTTTATATGCTCTTCCTTGTAATGTTTATAGTGCAAAATTCAGTTTATATTATCTGCCTTCGATCTTTCTTGTTCTATATTAGGTTAGTGAATCTAATTTTGAAATGTATCATTGAGTTAATTGATTTATCATTTTTGGGATGATTTAATTCGAATTTAGCATTGATTTGCCTTGTTCTATACTAGATTAGCTTAAATATGTCTACTAAGGGATTTATCGAATTTGTATCATATACTACTGCATTATTCATTATATATAATGTATTTGGTTAAGTTATACACTGGATTTTGTTGGATTATTTGAAATCATCATAGGAGTCGTTTACTAAATCCTTATCCGGATAATTGTTTATTGGGAAAATTCAACACTATCACTTACTTACCATGTAAGATTTTGGTCCACCAAAATGGTATTATATGCAACAATTTACCCGGTAAGCGCTAACCCTGGTAAGGGTTGTCGCCTTCAGTTACTAGGTAAGACTCTCGGTCCTTGTCTTCGCTCTTACAAGGTAAGATTCTTGGTTCTTGCCATATGCATTCGGTAAGGTAATGTGACTTGATAAGTGTTGGTCTCGTTAGGGTCTACAAGATGTGTATAACAGTTTGTAGAAGGAGGGGGGGATGAATAGAAACACAATATTTTCAAATTTAAAATATATATTGATAAAAGAAGATTAATACAGATTTTACAAGACTGTTTGCGGAAAGATAAGGTAAGAAAATCTATCTAACAATCTTAAGTTTACACACTAAATCTTAATAAATAAGAAAAGATTTGCTGTTTAAAGAAATAGAATAAAGTAAGTTCTTTTTGGGAATGAACTTGTTTAAAATGCAATAAAAGAGATTCTAACTTGCTCTTGAAGATGAGCGTATTTGTTCTTAGATGTGTGTTCTTTTACTTAAGTGCAAAGATACTCAGAGTAAGGTTTAGGTTAAGAGTATCTCTACATGGAGATAGAACACATCTATTTATACTAATTGCATTAAATGCATATTTAATGCAATATGGTAGGGTTAGAACGCGTGTCAAGCCTTAAGGGGAAGACTTGTCCTTTGCTACAGTGAATAGTACAAAAGCCTATTCATGAGCAGACATTCTTTCACAAAGTTGGTGGGTAATAGAGTCAACTAGTCGGCTCCGTACCGTACTAACACTTAGAAAGGGTATGGGTTTGTTCTTTGTGTGTATAAGGACAAGACAACAACAATCGTGCTTAGCAAGCTTCATTTGATCGCTGAATGCTGGAATAACCTGAAGGTCTCTTCAGCATTAGCTGAGGCTTGGGCAATCTTGATACATATGTAGACAGACTTGTAATCACTGAATACCGCTTCAGATCACGTACTCGCCAGTCTCTAATCTTCAATTTCATTCTTTGACATTTGTTGAAGGTTCTTTGGTGTGAGTGTTGTCTTCTTGAAGTATCGTTGTCGCTGATTGAATTTTACAATACAAGTTCTTCAGCGATCACTGAACAGATTCAGTGGAGATCGCTGGAACTGAAAAGACAGAAACAAAAATATTTCGAATAGAATAAAACGGGATTATCATCAAATCATTGAGAGAGAGGATCAACAATAAGCGCTTACTCGGATAAGTGTTTGTTAACCCCTTAGTCTACACCAATTGTAACACTAACATTGCCTACTTGCAGCTATTTGTTTGAAGTGATAACTTTCCTATTATTCAGCCTTCCACCTTGTGGTCTGAATAATTTCTATATTTCAAAAAGATCAAGGAATGCCTGATTAAGTTGAGGACATTCGTTGGTCAAGACTTTTTATTAGGAAGGAAATATGAAATTAGACCATTTATCCTTGCGTCCAAATGAATCTTTGTGATTCATCACTACAAGAGGAAATAGTTTTAGAGAAGAAATTTTCAGAGAAACTTTTAGAAGTGTATCTAAAGCTACATTATAGAGAAGGATTTAAATGACAAAAATGAAAAATTGTAACTAAAGGTTGGACGACATTTAAAGAAAGATTTATAGGCTAATTATACGGTGTAAGAAATGTCGTTAAAAGTTTTAGAGAAACTTTTTATAAAAAAATGTCTCTAAAAAATTACATTAATTTTTAGAAACACTTTTTTAAGCGTCTCTAAAGTTTAAGAAAAAATTTAAATTTTTTAAAATTAAATAAAAGTATTTAGTTACCTTTAAAAATGTATCCAAAATATTTAAATTTTATAATTTCTTTTTCTCTATTTTGAATATGTTGAAGTAAAAAATTGTCCAAAATTTTTATTTTCTCAACTTTAAAGAATATGTCGAAGATACTTATAGAATTTTATGATTTGATGTAAAAAGAAATAGTTTTATCCATTCATCGTAAAATAAATGTTCACAATGAAAAAAAACATAAAATTTTAAAAATGTATAATTATTATACTTTTCGGTCGAAAAAAATAATAATTTTACTTTTAGTTATAAAAAGATAAATTGTTTAGGGATAAAACGGAAAAGTAAACCTTTTGTTTTTAAAATAATATAAAAACTTAATTATTCATTTATCCACTACAATCTCAATCGGGCTTCAACTTGTCCTCCCTCACTCCCTCGACTCTCGCTCTCGCCTCGCTCACGGAACTCACGAACAGAAACCGATTCACGAATCGAAATCGCAATCGGCCTTGACTCAATCGGCTCTCGCTCTCACTCTCACTCTCACTCTCTGCCTCTCTCGAGTCTCGACTATCGACTGCCGATGGCCGACTGGCTCTCGGTCTCTCGCTCTCGCATCTTGACTCTTGTGAGTTGTGACTTGTGAGGTTAGGCTTTACTTATTTTATTTTTTATGTTTCTAATTCTTGTTTGATTGCAAAACCTAAGTATGAAGTTGTGACTTGTGAGGTTAGGGACATACTTCACCCATTTGATGTTTCTGTTTCGATGTGATTGTTTCTCAACTTTAATAATTCTATCGACTCCGGGTCCCTGTTGCATTGCGCTATGCCGTGTGCAGAACAAGGGATTCAAATCCAAAATTAATCAACAGAAACAGAGTTGCAAAATCAAGTAAAAATATCTCGGAGAGTGACCTGAAGAATTGATTTTTGGAGGTAATCCTAAAATGGATGGATCTCCAAGAAGGCGTTTGATCCTTGCAGCATATTGCCTTCAAGGTGTTTGTGAAAATGCTTGACTGTAATTGGGTATGAGCCGTAGGGTCTAAACCAAGAATCATCTTTTTTACTCCTAATGGTTAATGATGCGTTTTACATTTATACTAGTCCTGGCACTTTAGACCAACTTGTGTGGCTCATATCCTTGTATCTCCTTACAGCAATTGTAGCACATCTAAGGATAACCTGAAGAGAACTCAAAGAGTAGCAGCAGTGATGATGAATGGAAGCCAATCCACAGAGAGCTCAGATTTTAGTTCAAATAACATCACAGAAACATTAAGGTATGGTACATCTATTGTTTGAAATGTATATTATTTATATATGGAAAAACTTGCATACATTGAACCCTTGACTTCTATAGAGACTGGATTCAGCTGGTAGTCCGGATACTGCTGGGCTAATAACCCTTTGCAGAACCTTTCTTTCTTCTTATTTTTGCTGTAGTTTTTTTGAATTTGGGATTTTCTTGTTATGGTTTTTTTTGTATTTGAGTTGTTGCCAAAGCAATATAAATTGTTAATACCTTGCGTAATATTGCCACTGTAAAAATGCTAAACTTTAACCATAAATGCATACCTTGCAAGGTTTACTGTAAACACTTAGAATGGAATGTGTTTTAGAATCAAGTTAATTTTGTCTTGAGTTGCTTTAACATAGTATTGTATTAATATGGTGATGATTGTCAATTGAATGTTCACATGTGTAAAGGACGAATGTAGAATTATTAGGAAGTATGAACAGAACAAGCCTAAATAAATTTCACAAACCACTGTTCAAGAAAGAAAGTTGGTTCATCTTCATCTCTCTCTGATATTAGTACTTGATGCCAAGTTGATCCTGATGTTCAATATGGTAATAAACATCAACTTAGCCTATGAAGTGCTCACGCTTGACATTAACCATGTTTAAGAACTCTTTTTAAGCATTATGCTGTTGAACATATGCATGCACATGGATATTTAATGAAAATTATTTCTAGAAAGAGACTAACATTGGTTTCTCAATCTTATCCATGATGCCTTACTATTTTTATTATTGACTTGTCCTTTTCATGTGAATATTGTGCACTTTGTCTGTACAGAAAAGGAGAATTTGTGTTTGTATGGGTTTCCTAGTGAGCAATGGGAGGTCAATTTTCCTGCTGAAGAGGTGCCCCCAGAACTCCCAGAACCAGCACTGGGCATTAACTTTGCTAGAGATGGGATGCAAGAAAAGGACTGGTTATCTTTGGTTGCTGTCCATAGTGATGCTTGGTTGCTTTCTGTTGCATTCTATTTTGGTGCCAGATTTGGGTTTGATAAGGCTGATAGGTAAAAATCTTTTTAACATTGATTATATTTTAAGACAAAAGGGGGCTTAACTTCTCCATTTATGATCAAATTTTCAGACCCTCTACTTGTCTTTTTAAGTTACTATTTTCACATAATATTGGACATTATCAAAAAGTTCCATTTTTATGCAATAAGTATGGGGTGCCCTTTCAGAGTATGTATTTCAACATGGGTGTAGGTATGTTGGGCTGATTTGATTGGCAATAGTGATAACTACCCTATGATTTGTAGCTTGGAAATTGCAACATTAATGATGATAACTTCAAAATTTGATACAAATTGTTTGATCTTCAAAATTTGATACAAATAGTTTTTTATATATATTTTAAAAGGGTCATATATTGCAGGGGTATGTATGCATATATTGCAGGGGTATGTATGCATATATTGAAGCAGGCACAGGGGTATATAGGGGTATATCCAATAGCAATTGTAAACCATGAACCTATATCCATAAACTAAGGCAAGGAGCATGAATTGTGTGAGTAGTTTAGAATAAAAGTCTTTAGTGTTGGTATTGCAGTTTAACTTTCTGGTGGGCATCTCTCTTATCTTTTTTATTGCTAAAATCTCAGGCGTATATACAGACTTTGAAACATATTTTTATCTTTGTTATTGCTAAAATCATATTTTGTTTCTGTAGGCTATGTCAAGGAAAAATTCTGAGAATAGGGGGAAGCGAAAGTATGTTGCTTTAAACGGTACAGTGAGCACTCTTATCGGTGAGAGAGTCTTTTCGAAAGTTGCATTATAGAGAAAATGATGGTTGGGTTAATGACTATTCTCACACTTCATATGTAAGTTACGTTTAACGAACTCTTTTGCATGTCTTCATCGTTTTATAAATCACTAATGTTTATATATATGATTTTTATGTTCATAGGAGAACATGGTAGAGATTAAACGGCAAACTGAATCAACAGAAAATCCCCCGGGTGATCTAGAGATTATGCAACTAAGTCTTAGGTAAAAGACCTGCATATATTCGGGGATGGTCTAGGGTCCCGAGCACTAGAAGCGATTCAACAAGTTCGCGACATAGCACTTGTGCGTCAGGTCCATTGAGTCACAGCAAGATGTCTAATAGACTTGCTTCAACAGAGTCCGAGCTTGCTTCAACCAAATCCGAGCTTGCTTCAACAAAATCCGAGCTCTTTCTTATGAAGGATGAAGTCGCAGAGTTGCGACAGATGATGAGGTCAATTATATCCGGCCGGTCAGTTCCAAGTTCATCTTCATTAACTGTTCAAAACCAACGTTCGGAGACTCAAGATCGTTAGACATGCTATGATGATTTTGGATGTTTTTTGTTGATAAATTTAGTAGATATATAAGCTAATTGAATATTAAATTTGGATGGTTCTTATAATAAGAAATTATATAACAAATCTATAAAAAATTGTTTTGAGGTTTATTATTAATTTGTTCCGATTAATTTAATATTATTTATTAGTTTAATTTTATTATTATAATATATATATATTATAATATATTTTTTAGAGAAGGAATTAACTTTTTAAAAGTGTAACTAAAGATAATATTTAGAGAAGATTTTGAGTTTTGTGTATCTAAATATCATATTTAGAGAAGATTTCGTAACCGTAACTAATTAGAATTTTTAGAGAAGGTTTTTTAAAAGTGTCACTAAAGCCAATATCTTTAGAGAAGCTTTTCGATTATTTTCTCTAAAAGTATCTTTTAGTAACTTTTACAAACCATCACAAATACTTGAAAAATGTCACTAATATATATATACTTTTAGAGAAGCGTTGAATAAAAAGTTGACTAACCTTTAGAAAAGTTTTAAAAGTGTATCTAAAGCCTCAATTAAGCGTCTCTAAAGGCTAACAAAAATACACCCTCCGAAAACCCTCTCTAAAACCTTCAGCTACCGTAAGACAGACAGAGAAGGTCTTTGACAAAAGCTTATCTAAAGGCTTTAGAGAAGCTTTTAAGTACAAAACAAAAGCTTCTCTGAAGGTCATTTTTGTACAAAGTAAAGGCATTCAGAAGTCTTGCTTATTCAACTCTCACACCCATATTAAGATAAAACATGGTAATGATAATATCGGTTTTAAAGATGGTCATTCTATTACTTACTGCACCATCATTTATGCTATGAAATGGTTATAATATATAACCAAGGTGTTACAACATTCTATTTGTTTTTGTTTTTTATGCCCATATATATATATGGTTTCATCTGTTGGCCTCCAAAACCAGCTATGCCCTTTGAAAGTGTTCCCCAAACTTGTAGAATAAAATAGTTTGAACCATAGGCGGGATTCTAACATGAAAAGAGTAAAGTTGTTGTATAGGCCATAATTTGATGTCATACACTAGCATATATATACTAGTTCAAAACGACCTATTTGCTTTATTAACTTGTGTTACTCTCCACTGCATCATAAGCATTCTAAATTGGCATTTTACTCTCGTTTAACTTCATTCAGGTTTCGCCTTTTGCATTGTGCAATTGTGTTTCTTTCTTAAATTACAACACATACAGATACATGCGAAACAAGTGTAATCACAGTCGGTTAGCAAACAGTCCACAACCAGCGCCATCAAAGCCTAAAGGGGCATCAAATTGTCATTTATTACTAGTTTTGAGTTTAATAATTTGAGAATTGGACAATTGAACTTTTGACTATAAAAACAGGCCCAATGCCTAATAGTGATGAATACTGAATGCACATCGTTGGAAAAAGTTGGAAAGTTGGAAAGTTTTTGTTTGTATAAAGTTGTCTGTATGAATTAATCTGTTTGTATAAGTTGGAAGAGTTTTTGTTTCGGAGATGTAAATGAGCTTTTTTTTAGTTGGAAGGGACATGTTTGGAATTTTTTTTTTGATTCTATATAAAGCTCCCCCTAGAAGCTTACTGGATAAGTTATTTTTTATATCATTAAGCCACTACGAAACAGTCATGCATACTTGAGTGAATAAGCTGTTAGTTCCATTAAACTTATTAAGCTGTTAATAGATAAACATTTAGTCTTTAGTCATTAGACTTGTAACTTTTAAGTTTTACAATTTGCTTACTATGACAACAGTTTGGATGTAATTTACTATTTTAGTTAAAACCTAATTATAGTTTTCCTTATCTTTTAAGTTCCATATATTGAAATAAAGTTTCTATTTTGCTAATTTCAATTCTGGAAAAGGAAAAACTGGAAAAAAAGGAAGCACGATCTTAATCCAGGATTTATCATTTTATCATTTTATATTTTGTATTCGGGGTTTTGGTTTTTATTTCCCCTCCATCGTATTTTTTTAATTATAATTAATAAAATTCAACATCGGGATGAGATACTTAGCTTGAATAGGTTATAAACTTTTTAAAAAATCGCATGTTTCGTTGTTTCATTGGATTAAAAAAAATAGGTTTAGGAGCATTTTTTTTTATTATTTTCACACATAGCATCAAAAATATTAAGAAGAAGTCGTAGATATTAGCTGAATAAATGTATTTTTAGAAGAATATTAGCTGAATAAATGTATTTTTAGAAGAATATTTTTTTTTTTTGTAATTATCCTGTAACTCCTCCTTGATTTACAAGATAATCCTAAAGGAGGATTTACATGATAATTACAGTTTCTCTTTTAATCAAGGAGGATTTACAAGATAATTACAAGAAAATAATATTCTTCTAAAAATACATTTATTCAGCTAATATTATTCTAAAAATACATTTATTCAGCTAAATAGCAGAGCCCACTCTTGAAGGCACTGAGCTACAATACTAAAATTAAAAGTTATTTGCAAGTAAAACTACTTGCTCAAAATCAAAACTACTGCTCTAGCTATTAAAAATTACTTCTCTCTAACTTACAAAATAAAACTTTCTACTCAAAAGATACTAAGGTGCATGTATGGATGAATATCTCTCAAGCCAAGCATCAGTGTTTATACAAGAGGCAAAATAGGTGGGGAGATAAAGTGTGGGAAAAGTTTGAACCACTTTCCCACCCGCAAAAAAGAAGCTTTCACCAAAACATTAATGTTTTATTTTCTAGTTTTTGGACTACTTTTTTTTGCCTCCAGCCAAAATTAAGCTTAGAATGTGTCTCAACAGCTCTTCAGAACTTTCTCTACCACCTTTTGAGCTACTAAAAACGTCTTCTTCACAGGTTTGGCTTTCGATTTTTCGGAGTGGGCACTCTTGGATCCTACTGCGGATAATTTCTCGATTTTTCAGCACAAAATTGCATTAAATGGTTCAAAAGTACTTAAGCGGACACTTTCTACTTAGAAGCGAATATTAGACCAAAATGAGTGATTAAGAAACAAAGTGACCGAAATTGACAAAAGAATATTAAAGTACAACGCATGCAATAAGTCTAAAAATTAGAGTTATCACATACTTGGGGGACCTATGGTACTATTTTAAAAGATAAGGATTTTGTTTTTTTTTTTTGTTAAGACAATATAAGAAACAACGAAGCAATTACATTTGCTTAATTTATATCGGTTTGAGTCTTCACTGAGATAATATCCTCTATTTCAGATTTAAAGTTTTGAAAAGATGGAAGATATATGCTAAGTCAAGACCTTTAAGGAAGCACCTGGTTTAAGATCCATTCATCTCCTGTTCTGTTATATACTTTTCATCGATGATCGACCACACATAAATGGTGTTTTGATACTAACATAGATTTTTGTTCCTCTTATTTTTGTTTTACACTTTGTTATGTTCCAAATTTTGTTGCTGATATTGGTTTAATTATATGAATCATCATATGCATGACACTTCTACCAAGTTTGATATACATACATATATATAATGTTTTTATACTAATGCAAATTTTCGATGTTGAGAGAACTCATTACTCATGGTTATTTTTATTAGAGGTATTTTACCATTCAACCGAACTAACATCTCCAGTATTACAGATTACATCAGAGATCTTGTAACACCCCCGTCCCGCGTGGTCAAAGACGGGAGATGCCACAATTGGAAAATAA